CATATCAACCAACAAAATCTATTGCCCATTTTATTGGACATTTGTATTTTATTCATCAATGTATAAGATCCTGTTAATTTTTTTGATTAAGTAATACTTTCTTATGATATACTTTGTAAAAGATTAATTTCACCATTTATATTTATTTTGCTTTTTATAGTGAAAAACTTTTTGTTAGTTTCTTATCATTTTAAAAACTTATGTTGTAAAATAAAAAGCTATTTCCATCTTAGCAATTATTTTTATTTCTTTATAGTGCTGTAATGACTATAGGTTCTTTTAAAAAATCATTTAATGTTCAATTTATTGGGAATGTGATCTGAGATAAGGAGACAGATATTGATCTAAATTTTACTTAAGATTTTTACCAAATTATCTCAAGTCAGTATTATATTTCTTCTCCCCCAACTTAAATATCATTTATTTAATATGTGAAATTATTTACATACCCAATGTGTTTGGTATATTCTATCCTGTTCTATTTATCTGTCACTACATGTTCTATTTTCACACAGTTTTAATTATTTATATTATTCCTTAGTTGGTAATTGCCAGCATACAGTAGTATTAAGTCGATCATATATGAAGTAAAGCTGCAGAAAAGTTTTTAATTAGTTTTCACCATTTTGTGCTTCTCTTTGATTTTCAGTGTAGATTGTTGTATCATTTGCCAGCCTGGGCGATTTCTGTACCTCATTGTCTTGCCGTCTGTAAAGTGTCATATAATTGTGTCTAGTTGCTCCCTGGTTTATTCTGAAGCTATGTCTCTTTGTTACTGTGGAATTAAAACCATCCCATTGTGAACTGTGTCCTCAGAGTTCCATATTTCATACCAGTATCTCCACTTGCTTCTTACTGTGTACTTGTTCCTACTTTATTTTTTTTAATCTCTGTATTTTTTTACAATTTTTAATAATATATTAACATCTTAGTTGGCTTAAATTATTTTTGTTTATTTGCTTGTTTGTTTAGCATTAGTTATCAGTTTACTTTCCATTTCTTTCTTCTCTCTCTCTCTCTGTCTCTCTCTTCTCTTTTGACAAAGGTGTTCCAGTTTCCTAGGGAATTTGCTGTGGATGTCTTACCTAGAGCAGTGGTTGAAATGCAAGCCCTCCCCTAAGCTACTCTAGGGCATTCAGTTGGGGTTCAGTGGAGGGCACCTCTTGCAGGAAGACGCTGCTCTTCCTAGCACCTCCTTCATGATTTCAACTCTCAAATCCTTCAGCTAGGGCGGTGGTGTGCTCAGGGTGGGACGTGGAGCCTGCTAGTGACTAAAGCTTCCCGTGCCACCCTGGGTCCTCAGTTTCTCATACTGGCTGGGTGGCGTTGAGCCTGGATAAGGAAAAGTGAAGATGAGGAATGCCACATTTAGAAGGTTCCTCCCAGGCCTGGGGCCCATCATCAGCCCTTAGAGATCCCTGCACCACCCTCCAGACTCATGAGCATGCACTAGCATCTGAAAACTCCCATTACACTGAGGGATCCTGCAGTTATTATTATCATTGTGTTTGCACATGCGTGCACATGTGTGTGTGTGTCTGTGTGTGTGTGTGTGTGTGTGTGTGTGTGTGTGTGTGTGTTTACTAACTTTCAGCGCCTTGGCAGTTTCTTGCAGTGAAGTAGCTCAGCTTTAGATTCAGGCAACAGAGCTACTGGCCCATGCTGCTTCCCACCTTCTCAAGGACCCATTAATTTTCTCTTCTCCTCAGCATTTTGAAGCTAATGGTTAGATTTATACGTGCACACTTAATTACTGAAGCTCTAAATGCCTTATTAGCATATAGCTCTGGAAGTTGTTTACAAAGTTGTCTTCATATGGTTATTATGATAATCACCCTTTATAAATACACCTCTCCAAATCCAAACTCCTTAATATTAAGTGGCTAAGTGCTCACACATGCAAGAATCTTCCTTATTACTTAAAAACAAACACATACAAAAAACTTGAAAATCAAACATTTTAAGGATTTTCTAGGAGGCAGACATCGTTAAAATTTTTATGTATCACAATTTTTACCTCTCTTTCACAAGAGAGGACATTGGCCTTCAAAAAGCTTGGATAAATTGGCCAAGATGCATAGGTAGGGGAGGAAATGAGAGAACCAAGCCTAGAATCCCACTGTCTTTTCTACTTTCTGCCAACCTCTGCCTAGGTTGAAGGAAAGTTAAATCCACACGCCTTTTCTTCCTATGTTCCTTGAGGAACATAATTTGCTCAAAATGCTCAGAATATGCCTTTGTTCTTAAAAATCAGTACCTACCTCCCAGTGAGACAATTTCTTTAGAATACAAAACCTAAATGGAAACACATTTCATGGCCAGCCAGCAGTGAACCTCCTGGAATAACTTAGGAACTGCCAGTGCAACTCCCTGCAGACCTTAACATGGTGGCTCCTGTGACGGTACTGGGGATCAAACTCATAATCTCACACTTGCCAGGTAGGAGGTTACACTACTGAGCTAAATCCCCAGCCCTTGGCTCTTGTTTTTATATGCGATCAAAAATAATGTTGGAATTGAGTGGTTGGGGATTGCTTGCATGTGTTTGCTGAGGACTCATTTCCACAACTGTGCTGTAGCTTTCCTCAAAGGCAGAGCTCATTTTACACAGTGACTTAGACTTGTGGTATTAAATTTGAGTATAATCTCAAAGGTGAACTGTTAGGCGTTTCATATGGAATCTCTTATTATGTAAGCTTACTCATGATACACACACAAGAAATCAAGCTCTGGACCTTAGTAATTACTAAAACTTAGTGATCCCAGAATCTGTATTCTGTAAAGCATTTTTCCTTGTCCTTTTTATTTTATGAAAGCAGGGATATTTAATGAAAAGTCTGTAATAAAAGCAGAGCAACTCAAGTTGGATGACTGCTTACTACCTAGAGCTCAGTACACTGAGAACTTCTAAATATGACAGCAAATATGAATCTCTTAAGACATAATTTCTAATGAATCGAGGAAAACAGAAACTCAGATTTTGTTTCCTGTTGTAGGTGCATACTTAAAGCTTTAGAAAATCAGTGTATAGCTCATCAGCCAAAATTTTAGCAAAGATAATTTGTCTGTCTCCAAGAGGTATAAACAAGATAATTGAAATGTGATAAAAGATAATTGAAAAAAAGAATCTGCTAAAATGTGGAATTTGGCTTTCAAAATAGAAGAAAACATGATAAAAACTATCCCCTGCTACACACAGGCTGCTGGAAAGATGTTCTTCTATATCTCTGTGCTAATTTACCTGGCATATGGAATAAAGTACCTTTCAGGAGTACCCTGTACCACACTGAGGACTTTGAAATGGATCATTAGAGGATTAAGTAAGATAAATACAAACAAATACTAAATAAGGAGGATTCACATACATGGCACACACATGGCCTCCCAAAGAGACTTAATAATCTGTTCATATCACTAATATTCTGGTAACTGAGCATGAAATAAAACAAGATCAATGCTGAATATTTTAGTCAATGCGCCTGGCATTATTGGAGAAAAAGTTGACTATCAACCCAGATTTGTGTGTGTGTGTGTGTGTGTGTGTGCATGCACACACGCGCGTGCATACACATGCCAGGCATGCAACTTAGAACCTTGCACTTGCGAGGCAGGCACTTATGCTGCTTAGCTACATCCCCAGCCCAAACCCAGGGTTTCCAAACAAAAATGTTCTTAAGGTCTGTGTTGGAACAGTAGGAGTGGAGGAGGGCGTGGCGCTTGGTAGCTGGAGGCTCCAGGCACCCTGTCTCTGTCTCCGCAGCTCAGTTCATCCAGTTTCAGGCTGTCTCCACACACAAGGAGGACTGGAAGTCACTCAGGAGCAGCAATTGGGGAGGAAACTCAAGCTCAGAGAGGAAAGATGAGGATTTGAGACTCAGGACTTGATTACTGAGTGGCTGGTTTCCTCCACAATTTCATATACAGACTCTCAAAGTCACAGCGGAATGGAAAATCCTAGTTACTTGCCAGAAGTCAGCGTGTATCTGGTTTTTCTCTGGAAAACAGTCTCTAAATGAGTAAGTTAGTAGTACACATGAGACATTTAAGTCCTTCTGTTACATGTTGGTGAAGAAGGATGCATTACTGCACCCTATCAAGCACAGTGAAAAGTACCTTTCTACTCTTTACATGCAGACATCCCCAGGCCTTTTAAAGTCACTGAAACAGATTTCAATGTTTACCCTGTGAAAATAAAAAAAAAGCATTTTTGCCTGGTAGCATTTATTTTAATCATTATACATATCAAAAAGAGATACCTACTTACATATGAGAAAATATTTTAAATGTTATCAGATGTCTAGAACTCCCTTAGCAAACTGTCAAAAATTGATTTGAAATGGAGGAAGTCCCCGTTAGAAAGTATCCATGGGACAGAACACAGAGAAAGGCAACTACCAGGTGAGAAGGGAAGAGTCCAGCTTGAACATTACCACAAAACACAGCAGAAATTGCAAGATAAACACCCTGGGACCAAAAGCACTATTTTTATTTTTATGGTCTTTATTGTCTTTACCAATTTTCATTCTAGTGTGCAAAGAACTTAGTGAGATTTTCATGTTTTGTTTTAAGAGGAAATTTCTTGAAACAAATTGAGATCCATTAACAATCACACTGACATTAAAATTTTATAGTAACAATACTGAGGTTTTATACTGAGAATGTGCCCATTAGCTGGTTTATTAAGGTTTTTAGTACACCAAGATACACCTGCTTAACAACCAAGTACCGCCTATACTTCTACCCTAGAGGACAGAGTGCACTTTTCAAAACTCGTTTACAAACATCACTTTTATTTTTAAAAAGCATTCCATTATATATATATATTTGAAGGTAATGGATGCCTGTTTGATGCATTATCTGAAAAGAGAACCCAGAGTCAGGATTGGCTTTTAATGTTATCTAAATTCTATATTGATAAATAAAAATGTTCCATTACCCTGTAGAAACTGCCAGTATTCGTACCCATAATGCCTACGGTTCATTATGTTTTGTCTCTTCAGATAAATCTACAAAGGAAAATGAGAGTTACTGGGGTGATTACCCAAGGGGCCAAGAGGATTGGGAGCCCGGAGTACATAAAGTCCTACAAAATCGCCTACAGTAACGATGGGAAGACCTGGGCCATGTACAAAGCAAAAGGAACCAGTGAGGACAAGGTAAGACTGGAAAACACCCCCTGGACAGAGGACCCCGCCCATGACAGTTGGGCCCGCAGAAGACACTTGTGCGGAAATGTTTCTGTTGCTCTATTATTGTGTTAAAATCCAGCTACTAGAATGAAGGGTATAGGGGTTTCTCTAAGTAAAAAATGTATCACAGCATCCATTTTTAAGACTTTATAGATTGTTAATTGATGTCCCTATAAACTACTGTGTCATAAAATAGTGGAATCTCAGTGCGCGACAGGGCTTACATTAACAGTCAGCTTTCAATTTTATCTTTATTGCTTACATGTACACCAGTCCTCTCTTTCATCAAATAACTATTGATTGAAAGCATTTTGCTGAAAACTAGAAAAACACAAAGTGATAGATATGTATATATGTTTCTATGCTTCGTGTTAGAAAAATATTGTCATTTAGCAGAAAATATATTTTAGAGGAAATGCATGTAATATGGAATATCTTTTTTGTTTTCTTATGATACTCAGAATTTTAAAATTAATTCTTCCTAAAAGTGTTAATTTTAAAAATATCATGAATGCAGATCAACCCCATGCCAAAGCAAACAAAAATTTGGTTTTCAAAACTAACTAAAAGGTTTTCAAAACTAACTCCTTAAGTAAATTTAGATAAGATTTTCTGTTTACTAATTTATATAAAAGTTATAATAAGAAAAAGGTTTAAATTATAACATTTGACCCATTTTAGTACTTTTTTTAGAAGGAAACCTAATTTTTCGCTGGATAATAAATATAAGGATTGTAAGTCTCTTATCCCAATATCTGGGTTTGATTGTGAATCCTGACCAATCAGACCCTCAGACATCATACATCTACCTAATCATAGTATTAGGAACAGAGTGACCTGGAAGCACAAGTGAAAAATTTTCCCTACCAAAATAAAAGTTGGAGTACTGACCTACAAAATAGAGAAACTTATTAAGTTGAAGGATTTAAGATTTCCTTCTCCAAATAACAGAAAAGGATTTCCCTGACTCTGAAGAATTCTCTCACCAAACTGCTAAGTTCATCGTAGTGAAGTGTAGATTAGGCCATAGGCCAGAGTGCTTTACAGCTTTAATTAGAATTTCATCTGTGGGCTTTGTGTCCATTGGTGATGATGAAGGCTTTCCTTAAGTACTACAGGCCCCCAAATTATTGAATATAATCTTTCAAGTATTTTGAGAAAAGGCATAGGGCGAATTATGAACAAAGTACAGAGCTGTGCTAACTCATAGTGCAGAGATCTGGCTTATGTCTTGACACAGGTGTTCCATGGGAACGTGGACAACAACACCCCCTATGCCAACTCCTTCACACCGCCCATCAAAGCTCAGTACGTGAGACTCTACCCCCAGGTGTGTCGGAGGCACTGCACTCTGCGGATGGAGCTGCTGGGCTGTGAGCTGTCAGGTGAGCCTCATACCTTCTGTATCTGAGAGGTCTTTAAAGAAAACCAGGAGAGTGCTTGTGTGGGGTTTGCCCCGAACCTGGGGTTTCTACACCCACAAAAATGCGTTTTTGTTCCAAAATGTGTGGGGTACGGTTCAGTGAGAAATAGCGCATTGTTGTTTACATATAGAATAAATAAATAGTAAGACATGCTGCAGAATAGAATTAACTTACATTATTATATTTTGTACTAGAGAAATCTGTAATTTATCAATTAGTGATTTCTTACTGTTATTTTTTTTTTGACTGGTTATTTCTTACTCATTTGTTTAAAAAATTCTCTATTATTTCTACCCTTTTTTCTGTTTTACTTTTTTTCTCTAATTAATTTTTAAAAAATAGAATTAGTTTAGAAAGAGTCATGTACTGTACTGGGTGGTCAAAGCCAGTGCAAGGAACTCTCATGAGAAACCTATTAGAGTTAGATATGTCTCTTTGTTTGGAGTAGTACCTATGATTTATATGTTTTGATAAAAATCTCAGTAAAATCTGGAGTCGGCCTGACCTCTTGCCTTTCAGCTCTCTGATCCAGAAAGCAAGCTGTGTCTTTGTCCATCTAACCTAAGAACTGGGTGCTTTTCATTTTTAGACTTTTGTGAAACTTACAAATTCATCTTGCCTCCCTAGAGAGCAATATTTCAATACCAAGATTGCTACTATAACTCATTCTTGGTCACTCTTAGCTAGAAACCTGCTTGTTGTACAAATAGCGGTTACTCAGCTCAAGGGTAATCTATCAGAGGACTCCAAGTTAAATAATTCCTGGCCTCCAGGAGCATCAATACCAGGTACAAAGATGAAGACTCAATATGTCGATCTCACAGTGGTCCCATTTTAGTGTGAAATAAATAGACAATTTTCTTTAGCTGTTTCACACTGACATTTTTGGTAGTTCTTGTATTTCTGGTATCAAATTTTGCCTATCTTTGTCAAAGCCTGAGGTTATTTTATTCAAAAACTATGGGGAAAACAGAACTGTCACACTTTTTTTTTAAAGTGTTCGCACTTTTTGTTTTTTAGCGTAACCTCAAAATACGTAAAACACCTTCGTTAAACTTACAGCAATGCCTCTTAAATAGGTGAGGTCCTTGCAAAGAGGCATCTGGGAGATTTGGATTCATAGGGTAAACTATTATATATCTGATTTCCTCCTTTGATTGACCTAGAAAAAAGGGTATTCAAATAAATAAGCAGTATTAAAAATAATCTTAGAGAACCTATTTAAAGATACAGTAGTGGTTTAGTCAGATGGGTGAGTCTATTTTTAAGACTCATATTTTCATTCCACTTTGGTATGTTTTAGGAAGCAAACATACCCAGTGTTAGCACTATTCTCTACCCAAATAGAGAGATCTCCCTTCTTTTGGTCCTTGGAACCAGTTTATTGACTGAGAGTGAATCTGAGAAGAATGATGGCCGTACAACAATTGCTTTGCATGTCACTACACACCACAGGCCACTCTCATCCTCAAGCCATTCATCATAAAGCAATCAAAAGAAGCCACAGCATGATGAGATCTGCTGTCAGCCCTCTGGTTTTAGCTGCTCACCATCGCTATCACGAGTTTTTCAGTCTTTTGATTCATGAACGTCAGTCTCCCAGGCACGGCACAGCTACACCCCTGAGGTGTAAATATATTTTCCTTTCGAGTCCCACAAGAGGGTACACCTGACAATTTACAGATTTTATCTTCTCAAGAACAAGCAATGTGCTATCTCCCAACCCTGCAAATTGATTTTCAACTTACATGCAGAGAATATTTCTCAATGGTTGTTTTTCAAAGCTAAGAGAGTTGCACGATAAAAATAATCAATTTGTTCAGTTGCTGTCCACATTGGACTTAATTAATTTAAATACAAGAAATACTGCATATGACAAGGAAAAATTGAGATGTGAGGCAATGGGAAGAGTTCACTGTAACAATGGAAATCGTGAACCTGTTCCAAACTATTTCCTGAAGCTGAATACAACATTATACAGGCTGAGATTCTTTATTGTTTTCAGGGAACTGACATAAGCTTTTTAAGCCTGACTAGATCAGCAAGTAATTTCTTCCTAGACACTTAGAACATTTTTAAGTCATCTGAGACACAACTTACAATATTTTGAAGGAAGCAGAACAAAACAATAATTAGAAGAGTAAAACCCATTCTTTGAACAAGTGGTTACTAGCATTTCTTCCTAAAGCACTGCACGATGGAATGGGTATGAAATGATAAAGCAGGAGTGATCCAGAACATTCTAGAATGTTCTTCTATGCAATATTGTGTTAGGTTACAGAAGCAAAGGAATAACTGTCTTCTTTTTTCTTACATCTCTTCCACAAATGAAGCAAAGTTATAGAAAGACTTGGGGATAGTGAGGAGAGGGTAGGAAAAAGGGACTCGGGGAACCAGGGAGGGACATCCATCCCTAATTCAGACAAAGCCTGTTCCCTTAGAACTACCCATGGATACACCCCTATGCCTTAGCACCAGCCTACAATCCTAGAGATACACACAGCTGCTTTCTCGCTCAAACTTCACACTTAGCCTTGACAGCTATATTTATTTGTCATGGGGTTGGCAGATGTATCTTCTCAAGAAAGCGTGAGAAGATGACAATCTTCTCTGACATCTTTTGTCATATTCCCAAAGAAAAAATGTCCCATGTGGGGGTTGGGGGTGAAGGCAAAATAGGGACCAGCCTCAAGAAGCAAGAAAACAGAACAGCAAAAATGCACCATAGTTAAGAATCATAAGTGAAGAGTACTAAACCACCCATCTGACCTCCTTGGCTTCAGTAGGCCCTCTTTTAGTAATTATCCCCATCGTAAGATATCTGTGGCTGCTCACTGATATGCTGATACTTTGGTGACTTAATCCTGCTTCCTTTTTTGGAGTCAGTTTTATGATATAATAAAACTATCTAAAACTTCCTGAATGCTAACTGTGCCCGTAATTTTTAAAAATATTAAGGCATTTTAACAGAGAATAACTTCCCTTTTGTTTGTGTCTTCTGCAATTTTTTCAGCAATAGTTTCCAGTCTTTTTTTTTTAAATTAGCAAATTGTAGTCATAATGATTATACTCATTATCAGAAGTAGATACATGTACATAACCTATCTTGATGATTTCTTTATTCCCTTCCCATCCCCTACTTCTCTCCATCCTTCCATCTCTTAGTCCATTTCACTTTTGCAAAGGAAGTAATTTCATCGGACATTTTTAGCAGTAGTTTGTATTATCACCATTTTACAGATGAGAAAGCTCAGGCAAAAATCAATAGCCATAAGACCACAGAGCCAGTTAGAGGGGACCTAATAGACCATGAGAAGTATTGAATTGTGGAAATCCACTTTTAATCTCTACTGTTTTCATGATCAAACTTATTTTCTTACCTTGTGAGTTTCTTGAGCAAAAAACAATAATCTTCATGTAAAGAAGACTGAGTCCTTGAATAACATTATAATAAGATCACTCTTCTTATTATAAACTTTATAAATGGAACTGTGAAATACACACACGCACACACACACACACACACACACACACACACACACACACACACAGGTTTTCAAAGACAGAAGAACCCAAATTCTGCACTGTATCAAACTTGAAACATATGTGGTAAATTTGAGCATCTTTTGAGGGTATTTGAAAAACAAGGGGTGATGGGATGATTAAAATATAAGAACATATTAAAAGATTTGTCTAGTGATGATTTTTGCCAGAATTTATTTTTCCTGTTTACCCACTTGTTTACATTCTGTATGTGCACCAAGCCTGCTACACGCTATGCACCGAGTGGGTCTTATTTTCCTGCTTTCCCCAAGCGTCCATGTTGGTACAGTCAGAATTGGTGATAAAGATTAGCAAGCATTTCTTAGACAATGACTGCTGTCCAGTTTAGAAAATAACAGAGGTGCAATTTCAGAAGACGGCTTTGTATGGAGGGAATTTTCATTTGCAGTATTATGAAAACAAATAAAAAAAGCAAATAGACTTTATGAGAAAATGTCTCTTTTTAAAAGACACAATGAAACTGTGGAAAACCAAGAAGCACTTATGAGGCTTCTGGTAATAAGACGGGAGAGACATTTTCAGTATGGTTTTCATTTTGCAAAATCATCTATCAAAGAAAAGCAGTTTGGATTGTCTGTATTGTTTTCAATTTTTCCAAAATAGATTCAGACAAAGTGGCCTGAATTGGCTATCTTCTTTTTCTATTTTTGCTCCAGATTTCTTTCTGGTTACAGTCCTTTCCCTGGAATTTAGATGCTCTATCTTTGGGGGGGGGGGGGATGCAAAGCATGAAGTTTCATCTTCTCTTGCTTAGTCTAAATTAACATAGAAAGTTTTCAGGCTTATGAATTATTTTTCTCATGGAGCTTTTTCCTTTCCTTTCAGGCTGCTCAGAGCCTCTGGGAATGAAATCAGGGCACATTCAAGACTATCAGATCACCGCTTCGAGCATCTTCAGGACGCTCAACATGGACATGTTCACCTGGGAACCACGGAAGGCCCGGCTGGACAAGCAAGGCAAAGTGAATGCCTGGACCTCTGGCCACAACGACCAGTCACAGTGGCTGCAGGTACAGATTTCCGCGCCACCTCTTCTTGCCTCTTCCTTGCAGAACTTCCTGTTGTTCTCATGAATATCTGAGGCATTACATGCACACTGCTTTAAATGTGCCTTTCTCTTCGGTGTACCTGAATGGCGAAAGCAGAAATTCCTATGAAGTCCTGTACCTGGGCTATTTTCATGCTGGCATTAGAGATGCACCCGTCAGGTTGGCATAGCAGGTTTGCGAGCTCACATGATATATAGATTAACTCACTGGCTGTGAGAGCATTTGCATTTTAACTTTCATCTGTTCTAAGGCCTTGTGTTCTTATGAGCTTTGAAAGTGTGAGAATATGATTCCAAAAGATAGTGAAATCCTGCCACTGACCTGCACAGCATCATGACTCCTGACTTATTAGCACTTTACCTGTGGTTGCTAAGCAATAGAGCAATTTGACTACACTCTCACAAGAGAGTTGTTTACAGAAGGAGAGCATAGATTCTGCAGCATCTATTTTTAATTTGTAAATGAAGTAAGATTCCAGGAAATGCTTGAAACCTGCCTTCCTGAAATGTACTTATGCATGGAGTACTTTTAAGTTTGTGCGTATTTCTTCACATTTTCCATGGCAAACACAAAAAACTCAATTCCATGAGGTCGCTTTGACAGCCACGAGTCTCACCCTCACTGCTTTTCTGGGGTGATTTGTGGAATGGCTGCAAGTCTTGAACAGAATTAAAAGAGCTACTTCCGATCAGGCCAGATTTGCCAAATCTGAAAAACTTTCAGTCTTTTCACTAACCCTTATCCTTCCTCTCTGCATAGTTAGAAATAACTGCTTTTTCCTTGCCTCTCTCTTGTGTCTGCCTGGACCTGTATTCTTCTCAGGCTCTGCTGTCCTTTTTTGTCAGCTATTACACTTTGTAGCTAATTGCGTGTCTTTCTTCTATCATGGTGCCCAGAGGTAGAAAGTGGGTTTGCTGTACATCATTCCGGCACCCAAATTCACACCCCATTCTTGTGCGTGCCAGTGCCTGCTGTGTGAAGTCATTGGCTTAGCAGGTGGGCATCACGTGAGCCACCAACAGTGCTGTGCATGCCCTGCCACATACCCTTTTAAAGATTCTTTTATTTGGCTAGTATGACACCACAATTGTTTTCCTCGGGCCTGCTGTTTCCCAGTGTTCTTTCTGGGCCTTTCTTCCTCTTCCTGTTCCACTCATGCCAATGCCTCTCACCAGCTCACCAGCTTGAGGACTGACTTAGCCAGAACTGACGATTTCAACTTCTAAGCAAGACCTCAAAACCTGAAACAACATCCCTTTCTACCATCGCTATCATTAGAAAGGTATCATCCTTTTTCATATGGTTTTCTCCAAAAGAAGTCTTTCCAGTTTCTGGCCTTATTCTTACACACATATATCCTTTCTGTGTGTATATGTGTGTGTGTGTGTGTGTGTGTGTGTGTGTGTGTGTGTGTGTGTGTTTGTGTGCTTGTGCTTGTGCTTCTTATCTTAAATCTTTTATTCCATTCTGTCAGTCTCGTAATAAAATGCAGATTCTGTACCATGGTCTGAAAATCTTTGCACTGTCTGGTCCCATTTCCACTGCACTGCACTCTGTGTAGCCTCTTTAGCTTCTCATACCAAGCACTGCCTCTTCTTATTTGGTTATGACTGTCCTCCTCTTACAGCAAAAGATCAAAATATCAAACCCCTGCAGCTGCGTTCCCGAAGTGCCTTTCTCTGGGAGTCCTGTCAGCCAGTGTCTTCTGGCCTGTATCTGATTTGAGCCCTTTCCTTTATACAGTGGCCTCACCTTTATCCTTCTGGAGCACATCTCAAGACCCCAGTGCATGCCCCAAACCAAGGTTCATACTAAACCCTGAATATACAGCAATACCTCAATTCATGGACCCTTCAGTTTGCAAATAATTTGGTTCTCAAACTAAAGCATTTGACAAAAATTGGCTTGTATTCACAAACTCCATATCAGATGACAAACACAACCGTGGCCATCTTCCCCACACAAATACTAATGTAGCTGTCTTCCCCAGAACTCTGACACAAAGTCAGCTCATGAACTGAGGTAAGCACTGTACTTTCTTTTTTGCAACACAGCCTGCGGCATTGCCAGTGAAGACTAGGGTTGATTTGTCTGTCTGTATTGCATGTCTGTCTGTATTCCTCTGCCTCTTTCATAGCATTCTTCAGCTTTGGGACCTTTGTGAAATAAGACAAGGATTACTTGGACACAAGCTCTTTGATACCTGGATGTCAGTCTGCTGATTGAGATGGCTGTTAAGTGACTAATGGCCCATGGATGACTGGACAAAGATATGACTAGGACAGGCCGGGGCACAATTTTATCAGCTGCTTACAACAGACTGTCATCTAAAACACACATATTGGTTTCTGAATTTTCCTTTCTACTTTTGAACTCAGTGTGACTGCAGGTGACAGAAGAGGCATGAAATGAAATGTAGGAAGGGAAGGCTGCTGTACCATTGTGTTTTCTGTAATTCTCACAGCAGCCTTAGCACACGGTATCAGAAAGTGTTTCCATGCTAACCTGCTGGCTTCGGGAAGTCTGCAGCCACACCTGTCATGTGTGGCTTTTTCAGCTTGTCAGTACCGAAGCCAGTGCTCAGGATGATATCTGACACATGGCAGGCATACCATAAAGGTTTGTTGAATGAATGAACACACAGTTGTTTCAGATAATAATTCAAGGTGTGGATTTGGGCCTATGTAGCAAGTAAGTTTGGTCTTCAGTGTACGAGTTCAACTGATATTCTCAAAAACATAAAATGGTATATTCCAGGGCTAAGTATGGAACCCAGGGCCACAAGTATGCTAGACAACTGCTCTACCATGGTTAATAACAGATAGCATTTTGTGTTCCTATTTTGAGGAAACCAGGAAAGTTTCCTTCTATTTGTTAGTCTTGACAGTAATGAAGGTAAACCTGTTCTATAAAGTGTTCTGGTTGTTATAGAGTATTTTTAAACTGTGAATATTCAACGTATCTCAGAACAGCTGTATAAAACTAATATTATTCATGAATCATATTGGCTTGTGGAATAAGACGGAATATTTTATACCCCAAAAGTAACTCGGACAGGCTGGTAGGCTCTAGAAACATTCGCATAAAGTGATTGCCAAAGGCAAATTTCTTTAGCAAGATAAAAATACAACAGATATTTCTATATGAATCAGGGTATGAGTTTTCAGAGCAAAGCTCCATCCATCACTTCATTTACGAGGCTTTTCAGCTGCTTCGTGAAGTCACCAGCATGCTGGGATCGATTCGTTCTCCTGGTGACAGATTCTCTGTCAATTCAAGGACCAGCCTTCCAGTGGATGTCTAATTTTGTTGTGTCAAAACATATTCAGAGTCTCCAAAGCAAAGTACATTGACATCTTTCCTCTCATTTATTTATTTTTTCTGACATTATGTGAGGAAAGTCTTCAGAATTGTTACTATTTTTAGTGTTTTCCCTTCCAGAGAATATGATCTGCTCACTGGATATTACACCAGAGAGCTCATTGTGTTGAAAATAAAATTAAAATTTTTATAGATAATGATATGGGGGTTTTGTTTTGAGTTACTGATTCAGAGATCAACTTCTATGTTTAACTGAGGCTTCTCAATTTATAAATTTTACTTGCATTTTTAAATAAATGACCTAACTCCAAGCCTTAGCTCTTCAGAAGAGAACACACATCTTGCTAGTTGATTTTTAAGAAGTTTCTTTCAGATACCAACCGTATATGTGATTCTGTAATAAATAAATTTTCACCTCAGCTTAATATAATTTGTCAAAACCTAATCATATAATATTTGGAGATATAAATATAAATGAAGCTGTGCGAAAATTCTTACAACAAATTATGATATATTTGAAGTAACTCAAGTATTCTTTTTGAAATTCCTATATACACAAATTTTATTTTTAGATTGTTGTTACTGTAAAGTTTCTTCTAGTCTCTTCTTCAAGTTCAAAGTGTCTGGAACTCTCAAGAAACTATTCCTGTTTTGTTGTAGAAGTGATCTTAAGTGATTGATTAGCTCTCCTGAGTTACTATTAATCATGAATCATTGTCTAATTTTACTGGAATATGTCATAAAAGTATCAGGTCCACAGGGTGCTAGTTGAGATGTTTCTTGGACCTCCCTCTTTGTACCTAATGCCCTCTGAAACTTTCTCAATCTAACCAACACATCGAGCAACTATCTCTCCCAATGTTTATTCCAAAAGCCTCTCAGAAATTAAATTGCACTTAATGTCTATTAAAAATCTTACCAACTTACATGAAAACATGCTAGTAAAATCATTCCTGACTGCTGGTGGACGTTCCTAACAAATGATTGGATTACACTTGAATCTTTGTGGTAAAAATAAAATGACCACTGAGGTTCTGAGATTTTCTGATCAAATTTATCCTCAGTGGTTCGTTCCTAAGAAAAGAAGCCTGAGATTGTGTTGAACTGTAAGGCAGATCAGTAAGACAAGATAGGGAATATACGACAGGTTCCCGGGGTCACAGCCTCTGTGTCATTTCCTTGTGGTTTGTATGACCTCAGGACAGCGTCTTCAGATACTAACAAAAGAGTATCTGAAAAGAGTGCAGAGATGCTCACAAGTGTTCTTCACTCCCTTCACAGTGCAGTGTCCACTCAAACAGTGAGATGTGGGCAGCCTGCTCGGGACCCTGCTGAAGCCTCTCTCTCCGACAGAAGCTTCCTTGCTCTCAATAAATATATTCTGCTGTTAACCTCCGTTGTTCCTAAAATTCATTCTTCAGTTTTAAAGAACACAACCTCATACTGGGCCATAGTTCTGTCCCACCTCATGTCCACCTTGCGAGTTCTCATGTTTTCCCAAGTTGCACCTGCCTGATCTTGTGGTTTTTCTCTATAAAGTCCCTAGAAAAGACAAGAGTCTTTGGCAGCCCACTGGGACCCCTTCTGCCTCCCTCTCTCAGACAGAAGCTTTCTTTCTCTCAATAAATATATTCTGCTCT